AGTACTGTTATATAATATAATACATCAAAGTTTAAAAAGAAATAATTATTCAAAATACATAAGCCGGGGATTTAGCTCAGTAGTTTCGCCACCTGCTGCTCAAGCACAAGGACCAGAGTTCGATCTCCAGTACCAAAAAAATAATAATAATTATTATTATTATTCATAGAAAACACCAGGTTGAGTGTGATAAAAGGCTTAAAATAAGTGAAATTTCCTGGCACTTCTAGTATCTATGCAATGAGACATGCAATATGATATAGCTGCCTGTAAATCATAGATATAAAAAAACTCTGAAAACAGTCATTTATACAATGGAGCTTAAAATATGTAAATAAAATAATTCTCCTAGGCATGTCTTATTAGGTTATGTTAGGTAGATTAGCAAATAGGTAATCTCTAATAGGAAATTTTGTTAAATAGGATCTTAACGGTAGCAGTTGGAGTTCATTGCCAGGTTAAGTTTAATAGTAAATTCTGAATTTACATTCAAGGAAAGAAAAATTTGACTTTATTCATTCCCAGTAAGGGAAAGAATCCCACATTAAAAACCCATGCTTGGTCTGGGGATTTAGCTCAGTTGTTTTGCTGCCTGCTACGCAAGTACAAGGACCCGAGTTTGATCACAGGTACAAAAAAAAAAAAAAAATGCTGTGTGTTCACGCTGATAGCAGATCCCATCTCCCAATACACACACACACACACACACACACACACACACACACACACACAGGTGCATACAAATTCTCAGACACACAGTATAGAAAGTAAGATCTTCAGAGGGGATTTTATTTTTAGCATAACTGGAATAAATCTGCCTACCTAGAAGATTAAAAATGGGAGGAAATATTTACTTTTGTCCATATAACCTTATGTCATGGTTTACATCAAGAATGTCCCACAAAGTTCTCCTGTATTCAGATTTGAGGCTTATGTAAGATGATTGGATCATGGGGTGCTGCATTCATCAGTGAACTTATGCACTGGTGAATTTCATAGCAGAATGTACTCTCAGGAGCTGGGGCCTGATCAGCATGGGTCCTGACCTGGAAGAGTATACAGAATACTTATCTCTGGCTACTCCCTACCCTCTGCTTCCAAGCTGCATGGCTTTCCCTCTGCCAGGCAGCTCTGCTATCTTGTTTCTGCTTTGGAACTCGCTGACCATGGACTGAAATTTTGAGCTGAAATAAACCTCTTCTCCTTTTAATTGTAAATAGTAAAATAAGCCTTCAAATTTTCTAAACCATTAGAAAACAATTAAAATAAAATCAAGAAATGAACAAAGGATATTTTACTGAGAAACTTGATATATAAAATATAGTATACATTTTCTAACAATCAGGTAACTGAAATTTAGATATTAATAACTCAAAACAGAATAGTAAGATAAGATTGACAAGATTGATAAAATTGGTTAGTGAACTGAGAAGGAAAGACCTTCCTTGAATGTGGGTGGGATCACTCAAAGGCAGGAGATCCAGATGGAACAAAATCAGAAGGAGGAAGCCAGCCAATATTTGCAAGCTTGATTCTTCTTGAATGGGTGTGACTTTTGTTGCTGTCATCATACACGGACATCACACTCCCATTTCTTAGTCTCTTGACATAGACTAAGCCCATCAGCCTGCAAATGTGGCTACAACATGGTTTCTTCTTTTATGAAGTCTCCCACTTCTTAAACTGAGCAGGTACTGGTTTTTCTGGCTCTCTGCTTGCAGATGGCCATTGTGGGACTGTCCAGACTCTGATCCTGTAGGCCTATCTAATGAGTCACCTTTAATAATTATATCTGTTTATTGGTTCTGTGTCTCTAAAGAAGCCTGACCAATACAGATTTGTACCAGGAGTGGGGTCTGCTCTCAAGGCACCTTTCCCATTGTCCTGGCACAAAGTACTTGGTTTCTTTTTAACAGCACTTATTTATTCAGCAACCACAATCTTTGAGCCTCAGCTTTACATGTGCTTCTTTTCTATCCAAACGACAAGTTTTTCAGATATTCTACTTCACTTTTGTTCCATATTTTCACTGGAAATCTAGCTATTATCTTGAATTTCTCTTCACCAGACAAGCATAATGCCTTTTAATTCACCTTCACACAAAGTCTCAGGACATGGACAAAATGTAGACAAGCACTTTGCCAGAATGTAATATAAATTATCTCTTCTACTTTCCTAATAGAGTTTTCATTCTTATCAAAAACCTAATGAGCCAAGTCTTACTGTCTGTACTTGTTATGTCTTGTATCTAGATGTTCACTCCAAAGCTTCATGCAGTTATAGGTAGGGCTCTTCCGAAGTGGCTGGATCTAGGGTGTGTAATACTGGGATTATAAGGATGTGTGGTACTAATTGGTTTATCATAGTAGTGGGTATAAACAATGAAAAGACCCACCTTGGGTGTGAGTGACACCACCCAATAGGCTTGTAGCCTGGATAGGATAGAAGGGAAAGGGAGGCTTGTTGCTTGCTGCCTCCTGTCTACCCTGCCATGGACTGTTTCTCCTCTACCAATCTCCTCTGGCATGCAATCCTGCCTTGGAGTCAGGTGACTGAAACAAACCTTTCCTCCTTTAACTTTGGGTATTGGGTATTTTCTCCTGGCAATGAGAAAAGTGACTAAGACAGTATTCCTATCAGCATTCTTGTCTTCTGAGATGGCACCCATATTGCTTATTGAGCTTTTTGTCTGGCATTCCAGGGCTTCACTGGCTGCGTCTCCAAACATTTCCAATCTCCTACAAGCCAACACCAAAGGTTTCTGAACCACATTGTCAGATATAGTCACAGCAGTTGCATGACTTCTGAGTACCAATTTTCTGTCTTAGCTTTCTGCTACTGTGACAAATTACCTGAGATAAACAACTTACAGGGGAAATATTTATTTTGGCTTATGGTTTCAAAGTTTTCAGATCATGACTGTCTGGCTTTATTGCTTCTTGACCTGTGGTGAGGCAGTTTACCATGGTGGAAGAGAGGGGTGGAGCAAAGCTTGTCAGAGTATGGTGGATGGAAGCCGACAAAGCAAGATCTAATGAAGACAGGGTAGGAACAATATAAAGTCATCAGGGTTTTGCCTCCATGATGCACAGTCTTCAGGTAAGCTCCATCTACTACGTTTCCATCACTTACTGATAATGGCATAATGTAATTAATCTGCTGATGAGGTTACAACCTTCATAGTTCAATCACCTTCCAGAGCCCATCAGCTGGTAGCCAAGACCCCAGAGCATGGCCATGTAGGACTTTTTTTTAAAATTTAAACCATAAATGCATCAAATAAATTCTGACTTTCTAAAATTTCTTCTTCTTTTTCAAAGATGTGGAACTTCCTTTCAGGATGTCTCTATTTAGCTCACCATCTATTGCACCTGTTTGTAATTATCTTTCACCTAATTCAAGGACACAATCTATATGCCATGAATAAGTCTTGTTTAGTCAGCATTTTATCACAATATAAACAGTATGCATGCAGAAACAAGTGAAGTTTATGGATGGAGAAAACCCCAGTGACTAAAAGGGATCACTAGGTAGGTGTCTGGTGTGCTGAAATAGTCTGTTCTTTGACACTGGATTCACAGAGTGGTCACCTTCTATGTTTAACTGAGTGGTGCTTTTGCATCTGTGCAATTTTCTGTATATGTACTTTACTTCATAATATTCTTTATTACTTTACTGTCATTCAGCTATCACATACATGTAACTGTCTTTTTCCATTCAAGATGTTGCACCTGACAGCATTTCCTTGCTCCTATGTTTATGTATAAGATCTGGACATTAATATTGCATTCTTTATATTTAACATTTTTCACTTTTTAGAACTAATTTCTATATATCTCCTGGATATTAAAGTGTATCTTGAGGGGCCAGAGATTTAGCTCAGTAGTTCCACTGCCTGCCTCACAACTGCAAGGACCTGAGTTCAATCCCCAGTACAAAAAATAAGTGTATCTTGAAAAGTGGGAAAATGGAGGTGAACTGATGTTTCCAAACATTCAGCTTGTGCTTAGCAAAATAGATTTCCTCTAAACGTCCATGACCAAATCCATAGAAGCTGTCAGTGTGCTTTGTTACATGATACAGGGAGATACTCAGTTTGCAGATAAAATCAAGTTTCCTAATAAAATGGTCTTAAATCAGAAATGTTATTCTGCATCATTCAGTTTGGCCCATTGCATTCACAAGCCTTCTTAAAAGAGGAGAGGGAGACCAAAGAGGAAGTAAAAGCCACAGAGACCCTTAAAGATCTTACACTGCTGACTTTAAAGGTGGAAGGAAGGCCACACTTAGGGAGGTAGCTGGAAGAATGAAGGAATGAGGTTTTCCCCAGAAAGCTTTAGAAGGATGCAATGGTTCCAATGCTATAATTTTGTCCTAATGAGACCAAATTTAGATTGCTGACCTCTAGAACTCTAAGGTAGTAAATTTGTATTGATTTAAGCCTCTAAGTTTGTGGGATTTGTTGTGGCATCAGTAGGAACTATTACAAAAACTTAATCATGTGAGAACTTCCAGAAGCCTCAGCATATTTCTCCTCCTGTCCAGGCTCTGTATGATGGACTCATTTCCTCTGATAATCATAGGTAGTGGGAGTGTGAGCAAACTCTTTGATATTTTGAATGTTATATGAAGAAAAAAAAAGATAATATAAAGTTAAGAAGGGAAAAATAAAAAAATGTAAGGGTGAACAGAAAGGAAACAAGAAGAACAGGACATGAAAAAGAGAGGAACTATGTGGTCAAGAGTGTACAGTAATGCCTCTGTTCATGAATGCTTTTGTTCATGAACAATTCTATTAGCAAACAGAAGCTTTGGCAAAATTTTACTTCCGATTGTGAACTTCACATCCAGTGACGCATCAGGTGATGAACATGAACTCAGCCATCTTCCCCAGAATCATGGAACAAATTAATTTGTGAACTGAGGTACCACTGTATTAGTTTGCAGTCAAGAAGCAAAGGAATTAAAGCCAAGATCACTATTCAAAATACAATACAGAAATGAACTTTATTGTTGTCCGCAAGCCCACTAGCAGACCTACGTTCGGGAGCCCGGACCGGGAGGGTAAGGTGAAGAGTCACCAGCCGACTCCGGGGAGGTTTCTGGAACTCTTCCGCTTTATTGAGGAACTACACAAGCTTATATAGTGAAATAAAAGGGCAATTACATAGGCGAAGTTATAACAGCTTTAGCCTTGGCATAATTTAATTGGATGGAAAGAGGTATAATTATACACAATGGAGAACATAGTTAAATTTATTTTAAACCGTATGAGGTGATCGTCTGGGCGAGGCGAAGGAGTCACGACCCAAAGAGTGAAGAGGTATGGTCGACTTGATCTAGTTTCTACACACTGGAGTGAGCTTGCTCAACTCTGTTTTTTGTCTCTGAGCATGCTCAAGAGACCGGAGTGCGGCGTACTTGACCCAGCCAGACCCGAACTTCTCCTTCACTTTATCCCATCTTTTTGCTGCAGAAACTGACATAGCTTCAATTAGTCTGAAGAGCACAGGGTCCCAATTGCGTAATTGAATTCATCCTATTCCAGAACATTAAAAAGAGTAGAAGAATTAAATTCAATCAATAACATGCAAATAGATATTTTAATATCTAATATTAGATACATATATGCTATTTAGCATGCATATTAGAGTACATCGATTCAAGGGACAAATTATGAAATCACAAAATAATTACTTCTGTTTGCTAAATTGCTTCAGTTTAGGATTATGTTCTCAGAATTTATTGTCTTTAATGTATGGTTGTATTTATCAATACATTTTTAATTGAACAAGCACTGAAAATTAAAGCATATTGTTAGGTTTGCAACTTGGAGTAACTATGGAGGAAGACTTTGGGGAACAGCTTTCCCTAAGGTTATTATCTGGTTGCTTCATTGTCTTTAAATAGACCCTATAAGAAGTAAAAAAAAAAAAAAAAAAAAAGGAGCATTTATTACCCAAGGTACTGTGAAATGGCAGAATTCAGATGGTGAGAGAACTAAGGAACAAACCAGCCTTTGAGTTTAGCGTTGAGGGGTTGTCTGGTAGTAATTATTCACCAAGCAACTCCACAGGTATCAATCTTAATTTGTTTTGGACAGCTAACCCCCCATTATCTAAGGAAGAGATAGATAAATAAAGCAAATTCAAGCCCTGAAAAATACTGGTGAGAATCGTTTTTCTTCTAAAACTAATACAGAATGCTTGTGGGAAAAAAAATTCTGTTACATTGGTAGCTTCTGTGCACTTGTAATACAATTGTTATATATTATTTTCTGAGGAAAAGCAGGATGGACTTATGATGGTAAGAGAAAGTGTTTCTATATGTGAATATGGGATAAGGTGGCATAAACCTGAATAAGGCAATGCTACATATTTCAAAGAATAGTAAATCACCACACTTTTGAAATTCTCAGGAAGGGGAGGAAGGGATCTTTGAGATGTGTCTTGGTTTAAGGATCAATAAGAGTGTACTGGGGCCTTACGTTTCAGACAGGAGGGGAATCATTCCAAGGCTTGTGTGTAAATGGTCTGTTCTAGAAGAGGACCAAGCAATATACATAACGGTTGCATAAATGCTCTATGATTTGAGCTTCCTTACATTGAAGGGCTCTCTCAGCAGAGAAATATATTTTTTGTCAGTAGCAAAAGCAAGGAAGAAAAAGCATGTAAAATCAGGTGTATGTGCTTGATTCTGAATCTGAATTTTATTATAGCTATTGCTGTGACTATCACTGGTATTATCATTATTCTATCATGCACAAGAACAGGAAGACCTGAAATGACAGACCCGATGGAACACAGCCTGATAGTTTCCCCAGAGCTGGAAGTACTGGGCACGGTGTTGCTGCAGAGAGCTAACTGAAAGCACAGAGCTCAGTGGCAGCAAACTTTAAACTTAGTAGATCTTTAGGGAATGTGTTCTCAGGTGGACGGCTGTAGCCAGAGAGACCATTTTTATTTATGCTTCATTTGAGAACCTAGAAATCCTTTTAATCGCAACTATTCCAGGTATACTTTTCCCCTACAACAGTAACCCCCATCAGTAGAGGGCACATCAGTAACTCCCACCGGAGTGGCTAAAACTCCATCATTGAAGATTCATGCACTTAAAGGAAATATTTTAACTTTCATAAATTCATTCTAATTATCATTCAGTGACAATCTCTTCTTGAAATATTGAATTCATCCAAAGTAAGGGACCTAACACCGCTGGAAACTAGAAATACTAGGATACATGAAGAAATGTTAGCCTCAAAGGACAGATTGTTTTTCTTTTTATTTATTTTTTTTGTTTCAGTTAACAAATAAATACTTAACTAACAAATCAAATTCATTCTTGAAAAATCCTAAAATAATCTGAATTTGTAGATGAAGAAATTGCCTAATTTCACTTCTTTTCACTTCAATCAAATAGTACTAGCTTTGTCTGCATTATTTTTAAAAGTTGCTTCATCATTTTTTTGTGCCTCCATATCAGGGTTTTGTTTATTCTATACTTACACAGGTGATTAATTTTCATGACAGAGATAACTGCTAATAGGACAAGGTGATAGTGAAATCGAAGCTCCATCCTTCCACAAATGACAAGAACCGCATGAGTTAAATGATTTACATAAGCTGTAGCATCATAGTGTTAGAATTGGGTTTGTGTAAATTTGGTCTCTACCACACTCGGCTGCATCTTGATTGTGATCCAACCAGACGAAGAGCCACACATTCATTTCCACGAGATCCAAGTTTCCTAAGTACGAGAACCTACAAAGATGGCCCGGGGTCAGTTGCTTGAGGCCCCATGAGTGAATGTGGTCACCAGCCATGGCAGCATTCAGAAGGGAAAATGTAACATGTATTTCCACTTCTGCATCAAAAATAAAAGACACATTCCTGGGTGTACAAACATTGCCATATGCCCTACACAGAAGTTATTTCAAAATTAAGCAGAGTGGCTTATACAAAACCCAAACTAAGTAAATTTAGAAACAGACCAGTAAACCTTAAAAAGTAATAAAGGAGAGATGCTTTCTAGCACATGAGAGTCCAGGGATTACCTTTATCTCTCTGAAGTTTGTTTCCTTATCTGAAGTGAAACAAGAGATATAATATTGAAATAACAAGATAGAAATACATGTATGGTAAGTTTTTAAGTATGCATATCAATCAATGATAAGCACCCATTTTTCCAATTCCAACTACTGCAAATATTTATTTGTTCCTGTTGGAAATAAATGATAACAGCCTTTTCTATGTGTCATGCAGGTAATTTCTTTGTCTCTTGGGACCATAGTCTCGTGGACTCATTCCAAGCAAAAATTAAACAATGTAACTGAATTCATTTTCTGGAGTCTTTCTCAGAACACAGAGGTGGAAGAAGTTTGCTTCATGGTATTTTCGTTCTTCTACATGGTCATTCTCCTGGGAAACTTCCTTATCATGCTGACAGTTTGCCATAGAAACCTGTTTAAGATGCCTATGTACTTCTTCCTCAACTTTTTGTCTTTTGCGGATATTTGCTACTCTTCAGTCACAGCACCCAAGATGATCACTGACTTATTAGCAGAGAACAAGACTATCTCCTATGAGGGGTGCATGTTGCAACTCTTTAGGGTACATTTCTTCGGTGACACCAAGATCTTCATCCTCGCTGTCATGGCCTATGATCACTATGTAGCTATTTGTAAACCCCTACACTACCTAAGCATCATGGACCAGGAGACATGCGATAAACTGTTGCTGGGAACATGGCTGGATAGTTTCATACACTCCATTATCCAAGTGGCTCTTGTGTTTCAATTCCACTTCTGGGGCCCCAGAGAGATTGATCACTACTTTTGTGATGCTCACCCTGTGTTGAAACTCACCTGCACAGACACCTACCTTGTCAGTGTCTTGGTGACTGCCAACAGCAGAACTATCCCCCTGGGGAGTTTCATCATCTTGCTCATCTCCTACACTGTCATCCTGGTGTCTCCCTGGAAGCAGTCTGTCAAAGGCATACTCAAAGCCCTCTCCACCTGTGGTACCCACATTGCTGTGGCCATCATCTTCTTCAGTCCCTGTACTTTTATGTACATGCGGCCCGACACAACCTTCTCTGAGGACAAGATGGTGGCTGTGTTCTACACCATTATCATGCCCATGTTAAATCCTCTGATTTATACCTTGAGAAATGCAGAAGTAAAGAACGCAAGGAAGAAACTGTGGAGCAGGAAGGTTTTCTGGGAGGCCAATAGCAAATAGTTGAAAATAATTAAACCTGGATGATGTTAAATTTTTTTCAGCCTTGTTAATTCTTCTGTATGGTGAAGAAGTAGGAACAACCTCACGGGATTTGGAAGAAAATACTCAAGAAAGTGATATATTCTACAGAAATGGGGAAATTATTATGTCATAATTATTGTAATATTTTATGATCAGATGATTTCCTGAAGTGCATTATCAGAATCTCAAGCATGATTATTCTCAGCATCATTATTTTCTCCTCCTCCTTTTACCCTCTCCCATGTTCTTTAAAAATGAGAGTGTTCTGTGAGGTATTGAAGGCCATTTCTAAGGTTTAGAACCATGACTGGTAGATACTGGACTTTCAGTGTTTATAAATGATATAAATATTATAATACGTGAAAAATACATCCAAACCAAATTAGTCTGATAAAAATTCTCCAAACACAAGAACACTAATTTAGTAAGATTGGAATGTGAGCCAACGTAAGTAAATAGTGTGAAAGAGATCGCATGAGCTTAAAATACAAAAGATTAGTTTTCACCCTTGATCCTGGGGAAAAGGTGATATTTGTTCTCTTTACGCAAACACAAAGAAGATGGGATGGATTCATCTGTAAAATTCTCCTTACATTTGTAAGGTGCCATTTGTATTCTTTTCACTGTGGACAAATATTTCTTTTTGTGTGAACTGATATTTTTACTAGTGATATATTTCTCCTTCCTTAGGAACCTCACCACAAGATTCCTTTTCTTTTCATAGACAACGGTAGGTATCACTGACTGTATCTGCCATTGTTTCATTTCCTTTTCCAGAAATCTAATTATCTATGCTATAGATTGTACTTGACTTTGTGTTTATGGTTGGGGGTAGAGTATAAACATTAACCACTGAAAGAACTATAGGGCTTAAATGATCTATGATGTTGAGGTAAAAAAGTTAAAGGTAAAAAAAAACAAATTAAAAGCCACAGAACATCTAGATTAGAAGTTATCACCATGTTATAAATCTTGCCCTGGAACCACACAAATCCATGTTGATTTCCCCAGTTTAGATTTGCATTTGCTTGACCTCTTTTGTTTAATTTTCAAACAAGGACTGGGTCAATTTTTTACGAATTTGGCAGATCATTAGATTCATCTTGATTTTTTCACAGATAACAAGATGTGTTCTAAGACATTCTTATCAGTTTAGGCTAATGTTGAGAGATACACAAAAGTTCTATTCTTAACAAGCTCCTTTGGTAACTGGTATACAATTAGTTGCATATCTTGGAAATTGGGTTTGGAAACTCGGATTATTTTGCAGTACTGGGAATTTTTAAAAATTTCTTCATTAGTATATGTTTCCAATACATAATAATTATGCTCATCCTAGGGAACTGGTGCACAGACATGTCATGAGCTTATCATTTTTTGCCTCCTTTTCTCTTGAACTCTCCTCTCCTCCCTCCCTGGAATTCCTTATTATCTCCATAGATTCTGCCTCCCTGTTTCCTACCATCTCTCTTTTTTGATATTTAAATTATTTATATTTTGTGTTCCATGAATTAGAGAAGCCTGCAATATTTTACCTTATTGTCTGATTCATTTCACTTAGCAATATGGGATTGAACTCAGTACCTTCACAGTGTCATCCCTCGGGCTTTTATTTTTCATTTTGAGGTTAAGCCTCACTAAGTTGCTAAATTTCCCAGGTTAGGCTCAAATTTGCAATCCCCCTGCTTCTGCCACCCACAATGCTAGGACTATAGGCATGCACCATCATGCCTGGCTCTGTGATTTTTGACATTCCTAGAACACAAGCGAGCTAGAAATCAATAAAATTTAGAAAGACCTTGGAAAGATATTGATAAGAATTGGGACAACTCCTCCCAGTTTTATTGTAAGTAATTCTGATCAAAAACAGCATTTCCTCCCACAAATGCTTGATCACAACCTGATTTACAGCCTCATAGAGTTTTAGACTTACTGAGATAAGGTGCTTCATGATACACTGGCTCTTCATTGGTGAAAAACAGGACAATTGTTCTCATTTTCAAGTTGAAAAGAAAGTTGCTTATTTAATAGTGGAAATAATGAAGGTATTTCTTCTAATCAGTGGTTATACTTCTATCTTCTAAAGCATTATAAAATATCATCATTGCATTTCTGTGCAGTTCCAAACAAACACGTAAACACAACTTTCATGTTCTACCATATATCATTCCTGTTTTCATTTACATATTTTAGGTAAGTAAAATATTTATCGCACATTGGGGTTCTAGAATTTAACTACATTCAAGTTATCTGAAAGGGGATGCTTCCTTCAGTCATTGTTCTGCTGTGTCTTGTTCTTATACAGTGACAGATTATTAATATAATCCAATGAGCAAAGGGTAAGTAATATATCTATATGTACATGAGAAGAATAAATATTAAGTTGAATTCTGAGCCTACCTTGAAATCTTGACATAAGCCCAGCCAAGCCAAGCCTAGATGAGATGAGGTAAAGATGATCCAAAGAAACATGAATTAAAATTAAATGCGTGTTATATAAGCCATGAATCTTTTGAATGACTTAGTACTATGATTTTTATCACTACTAATACGATTAGTCTGCAGTGGTAAGGATTGAACCCAGGGTCTTGGGCATGGTAGGCAATCTCTCCATCACTGCACTGTACCCTAGCCTGTTACACAGCATTATTATTATTATTCTTTTTACACAGCATTATTAACCCTGCCCATCCTAGAAGGACACAGTCCAATTCTACAAGTGGGGATGCTGAGGTACGTTCTTTAATTAATACATCTTCCAGAACTTAAGTGCAAAGTGCTTTGAGAGGAGCAGTGTAAAAGCTCAAACTACAGAGAATAGATGTGACATGAAGAGAAGCATATAACCTGGGTTCCATACATGATGAATAAGCATTAAATGCCCAAATACAAAGCAGCCAGCCTTGCTGTTCCCTCCATAGGCCAAACATAGGAACAAATGAGCCTCAGGGTAATCAAGCCTGGGTAGAATCCTTCACTTCTCTCTTGTTGATTGTTAGGGGAAGGCTTAAAAAAATTCATGAGCCAAGTTCAAACACACAAAGAGAGGTCTGTCTTATATTGAGAGAAAGATGATAACTGATCTCTCACCACAAGCAAAATTAATTTGGGAGTGAAGGTTGCATCCTATATACATATTGACAACAGGCTTTATTAACAATAAACACCAAGATCAGACACCTGATCGCGTGGCCACACACATCTCTGCTCACCTTCAGTTTTCTGAGTAATCTCCCCAGGAGGCAATCATCGCCAGATCAGCACGAGAGCAGGAACCCGACTGCACCTGTTATGATCTACTTATCCCCTGTTTGTCATACATCATCACTTTTCTTCCTTTCTACATTTCCTACTTTTTAAAAGTAGGACACATGTCTAAGTCTTTTTAGATGAAAAAGAGACTGGTGCCAAAATATGTATCGCACTATGGCAAATGTATCCCTTACGTTTACACTCCTGGCTGGTTTCCCTGGGAGAAAATGAGAGTTTAACTGTACACAATTCAGTTTTTTGGTGGGCACTGTCCTGAAAAGGGTGGAAAACAAGAAAATAGCAGTCCTGTGTCCTCAAAATTATAATTTAATAGTTGGTGAACATTCAACCACCCTGTCTGGCCCAGGTCATCAGGTAAATGCCTGTTAATGGATGACATTAGATGATCTGAGGTCTCTTCAATGCACCAGTTCACCAGTTCCTGTTGAAGTGAAGGAAAAGCCTGCTTATGGTAAAGATTATATTGGCCTATATTCCAGTGTCAGTGTGTACCACCTACTCATGTTTTCTTTTTGAGTTTTATTGTGGTATAACTGTTAAATATTTTCTATATTCAATGTGTACAAAATAGTGAATTGATGTACACATACATTGTGAAATGATTACCATGACCACATTAATTAACAGCCATGATCATACTTCCTAGTGTGCATATGTGTAAGTAGACATGTGGCTATCTTTCTTCTTAACCCAACAGAACTTATTCTTCCCCATGATGAAGATATATCTGTGTGGAGTGGTTATAGATTTGCAAAATTTGAAAATTGAAATTAAAAATCAGTCTTATTTACATATTACACATGCAATAAAAATGAACAATTTCAAACCAAGGTTGTCCATGTCTTCATTTATACACTTTTATAGCTTTAAAGCCTTACCTAAATTGGATAGATTTTCATGCTGTAAATTTTTTTAATTCATTAAGTTTATTGGTACATTTTAGTTATACAATATGATGGCATTCATCATTGGGAATTTGTACCTGTACATGATATATCTGGTCAAAGGGGAAGGGGAAGTGGGAAGGGCATAGGAAAGGAAAGAAGGGAAAAGAAAAATATGAGCAAAGGATAAATCAGAAACAAAGTCTTTGTAAATAGGGAAGGGTAGAGGGGTTGAAGGAAGGGAAGGAAAATGGGGACAAAATAAGATTCATGCTGTAAATTTACAAAACAGCAAATTTTGTGTACTTATAAAGAATTTTAAGGGCTAAGGATTTAGCTCAGTGGTTCCGGCGCCTGCCTCTCAAGCACAAGGTCCCGAGTTCAATCCCCGTTACCAAAAAAAAAAGAAGAAGAAGAAGAATTTTAAAATTTGGTTATAAATACAATCACAGGGAAATTTTTCTTTTTTTTTTTTTGGTACCGGGGATCGAACTTGGGTCCTTGCACTTGCTCAGCAGACAGCGAAACCACTGAGCTAAATCCCCACCCCCTACAGGGAAATATTTTTAAGTTTGAAGAAAATGTGCATCACCTGTTTCAAAATTCTAATTACTGTAATGCACCACCAATAAGTTACTAAAAATGAATTACAGTAACTTCCGTTAGTGAAATGTGAATCTTATAACTACAATGAATTGCAATTTCTCAGAAACCTATGTTCTCAATTGAAAGAGTTAAGATGCATAACATGTACACATTTTGGCACAGCTTCGCTTTTATGTTTTTTTTTTGTTTCACTTAAAATGATTAAGGTAAAAGATA